GGATTTGTGCTGAAAACAATGTTGATAATGCAGGGATGTTTTAGTTATTGCTGAGCACACAAGAAGTTTGGAGGAGACACAGCTGGGACATCTGACCCCAACTGACCAAAGGGATATTCCATACCATATGACATCATGCTCAGCAATAAAACCTAGGGGAGGAGTTTGCTGGGGCAGCCATTGCTCGGGGACCAGCTAGGCATCGATTGTCTGGTGGTGAGCAATTATTGGGTTTTTTTCATCACATCAACAAAAAAACAATTTTGTTCAGTAACTTCGCTTCTTAGCTGGGCCTCTCTAACTACTGACATTAACAGCATATTGTGCAGAAAATGTTCACTCTCTCAGAGTGATAAGACCTATGTTTATAGTTGATGCCCAGGCATGGTATGCAGAGAGGACCTTGCTTATACTTATTGCTATAACAACCAAGGAGAGGGACAACCGAATTTATTGGAATGTGTGGATTCGTTGGTCTGGTACATTAGAGCCACAAAAGTATAAAGCCCTAGTGGACACTGGTGCACAGTGTACCCTATTGCCATCGAATAAAGCTAAAGCTGTCCCTCATGAATCCCATACCCTGGAGGCAAGGGGGAAAGTCTGAAGAGAGGAAGATTTCCCCTCAATTGAGGAGGACCGGGTCAGAGACCACTTGGCCATGCTGGACATTCATAAGTCCATGGGCCCTGATGGGATCCACCCGCGAGTGCTGAGAGAGCTGGCAGATGTTATTGCTAGACCACTCTCCATCGTCTTTGAAAGGTCATGGGGAACAGGAGAGGTGCCTGAGGACTGGAGAAAGGCTGACATCACTCCAATCTTCAAAAAGAGCAAGAAGGAAGACCCAGGGAACTACAGACCGGTTAGTCTCACATCGGTCCCTGGGAAGGTAATGGAGCGACTCATTCTGGATGTCATCTCCAAACACATTGAGGAACGGGGAGTTATTGGAAGTGGTCAACACGGATTTACCAAGGGTAAATCATGTTTGACCAATTTGATAGCCTTCTACGATGAGGTAACTGGTTGGCTGGATGAGGGGAGAGCCGTAGATGTCATCTACCTTGACTTTAGCAAGGCTTTTGGCACTGTCTCCCATAACATCCTCATTAGGAAGCTGAGGAAGTGTGGGCTAGATGAGGTGACAGTGAGGTGGATTGAGAGCTGGCTGTGTGACAGGACTCAAAGGGTTGTGATCAGCGGCACAGAGTCTAGTTGGAGGCCTGTAACCAGTGGTGTCCCCCAGGGGTCGGTACTTGGTCCAATTTTGTTTAATATATTCATTAATGACCTGGATGAGGGGACAGAGTGTATCCTCAGCAAGTTCGCCGATGATACCAAACTGGGAGGGGTGGCTGACTCTCCAGATGCTTGTATTTAGACCTCAAACCAGCTACCTTTCCCTCGTCAAAATGTGGTGTTGCAAGCATAATGCAAAACTTAAGACATGGAAGGTGCTGCAAGGGAGACCTGATGCCATGCTGAAGAGGCAAAATTCTCAGATTTTGGGAATCTCTGCTTTGACTGCACCTTCAGTAAGGTTAACTGAAGGGAGGTGGTGAGCAATGGGGGTTGTAGGAGAGACCATGGACCAGAAACTCCTTAGCTGCCATCCAGCTTCTGCCCTTGCAACTCGGTGTATCTGCAGTTTGGAGGGAGATTTTACTTCTGATTGACAGAAGTTGAAAAGGAGTAATACACATGCAGGTATCTCTCTAGCTACAGTATGAGCTGGGAATAGAAAAGAATTTCCAGTTCCATTTAGGCATTTTTCCATTGCAGACAAAGAAGAGGACTAGCTGGATTGTAGCATATAGTTGCTCTTTAACAATTTGCATTTACTTGCTGATTTGTGCAGTGTTTCTTGCTGCAGAAATAGCAGGTTGTGCACTAAATACACTTTGCATACCATCCACTTAGGACTCTTCTGAGCAACTTGTTAGTGTTTTAGGGGAGACCAATCTGTAAAGCATATGTGGAAGTACTCAGCATCCGTTTCTTGTAGTTGAATGAAGGGAACCATCATGAGGGTCTGTGCTGGCTTCATGTGGTGTGCGGGTGGCTCTGTGCATGTCAAGGAACTCATGTCTGGCTTTATATTTTCAGGAGGATCTTGAAGCCCTGATAGCAGTAAGGGGTGGCAAACATCCTGGCTTTTCCCAGAGCATGAACAGCGCGTGATCAACAATTGTATTGGCTGAATGGTGTGTGATGTGAGAGTGGATTGGGCAAAAGTAGAATGTTAGAATATATGCACAGATAAGCAACCAGCTAAGAGGATATAAAAGAGCACTGCTTGTAAAATAAAGGAGGACGATTGCTGTAACTGGATATTGAGTGTCGTGTCCGTCTCTACAATGACAGGGGAGAACTTTGTAGAGTAGGGTAGAGGGTTGGACTCGATGATCCCAAGGGTCTCTTCCAACCTAGACAATTCTATGATTTTATGATTCTACTGCAGATTCAACATGCAGACAGGAAAACTGCAGCTGTGTCCCTCAGCCTGGGCAGAGACCCTGGGGCCCTGGGCACACTAGGCTGGGCTCCAGCAGCTGGGAGTCCTGGGCCAGAGCTGCTGGAGGAGGCAGCCACGCTTAACATCACATTTTCTACTGCAATGCACAAGTCTTTCCAACTCAGTGTAACGTTTTTTATTATGAGGGAAAATATGGTGCACGTAGATTTTTTTTTTAAATATGTGAGATTTCATTTTGCTAGAATATCTTATCTAGGCTCCCTTTTCCATGAAAGGTTGAACCAGATGATCTTTCTATGATTTTATAATAAAAAGTATAGACATCTAATACAATGTATTGAGTATATTCAAAAGAGGGCTGATACTGACTGTTTGTGGACAGTTTCTCTTGTCTTGCGTGATACATTAAGCATTTTATAAAGTAACTCAGTGCATTTTTATAATAGGTTTTTTTTCTTTTTTAATGTATTTGTCTTAAACTGAGCTCATTTATAGAAATGCTCACTGATTCCTGCCCACTCCCTACCATTAGAATGTTTGCTTTCCCTTTAAGGCCTTAAGTATTTACACCCAGTGCTTACACAAATTGTTTTGTTTGCATATAAAATGGCTGTGTTCCTCCTTCAGTCTGCCCATTGCTATCACACATACCTTGGAGCAGGAACAGTTGACTCATGAGAGCCTAGAAGCAGGTAGCATGCTGAGGCTAGTACAATAATTACAAACTAGTTAAGCATGTAACTAATCATTCCATTGACTCAAAAAAAAAAAAAAAAAAAAAAAAAAAAAAAAAAAGAAGAAGTTGTGGAATAGAAAGTCTCTCTGCTCAAGCATCAAGCTTTTGAAAGCAGACAAAAAGCTCTGCTTTCCTCATAAAATTCTGCTAAAGCCATTTGTGAACAGGGAGATGTAAGCCCAAATGGAAAGGCTTAAAACTGGAAATGAAAACTAGCTATAACAAGGAAGAACACAATAGCTGTGTCTGAGGCAAGGACACACTTCTGGATTATCCTCTGTAGTTAGTGGGCTGTTGCTGTTTGAGGTAAGAAAACTTCTAAAGCTAAAAAAAAAAAAAGCACAACTGTTTTAATTATGTAATGTAGGAATCTTTTTTTTTTTCTTTTTTTTTTTGGTGAGACTTCTTGTATGGTTGAGTGCTCTCCTTTGTGAACTAACTTGTGCCTTGGCAGGCTCCAAAGGTGCTGGAACTGTGACACTCAAATTTTTGTTTATGGGCAAAGAGAAAGTACACCTTATACATAAGTAAAACCAAAACATTATTGTTAGTGTAATTAAAATCTTGAAAGTCTAATCGTTATTAGTCCAGATTTAATTGTTACAGGAAAAGAAAGAATAATGATGTAGTTAAAATTGTAACACCCCCCCCTCCCCCCCTCAGTTTCTATCCCTTTCCCTGGTGTTATGCTCACTCTTTCACTGCTCTTCTGGGTCCTAAGGTCAGTGTTTTCATTCTGGTAGTGGGGGAGTGCTTATGGTGTTCGTGTTGATTGTTTCTTTGTTTTTTTCTTCCTCACTCTAGACTCACTTGGGATCGTTTATATGTTTGCTAATACACTTTTACACCTTTCTCTGTTGGTGAATGAAACATGCAAATAACCTTCATGTGTAGCAGCTGACCACACCCCGTCTTTATTGCATATCTGTTAACCAAATTACAAATGCTTGAAGTATAAGTTATTAGCCACACAACTCCTTTTATTGCTTTACTGTATTATCACTGATAGTTTTACAGGGCCTAAAGAAAATAGTTTCTGAAAGCTTTCCTGCCCCTACCCCCCAAAACAAAGAATAACTTGTGAACTTTCATGCATAACACCCCCTCCCTCCAAAAAAAAAATAATAAATAATTAAGACAGTCACCTGTTTGGTAGTTATGCTTGCTTTCCCTTTAAGGCCTTAAATGCTTATACCCAGAAATCTCACTTTGGTAGTGCTGATGTAAAATTATGCCACAGCCCAAATTAAACAAAAATAGTTTGCAAAAGATAAATAAAAAAGCTGTTAAGTAGTTTGACAATCAGAGGAAGCTGTATTACTGCTTGAGCATTACAGAGAGAGATCAGTTTTCATTTGTTTGCAACAGAAACAAAGCAATACAAAAGCAGAAAACTTGAGTATACCAAATTTGCAAGTAGAAGGTCTTTCAACAAGGAAGAACACTTTTAAAGCTTGAGATAAAATTCCTGTTTTGCTCGTTTCACCTCCATTTCAAGGCACACACATACATAGGCACAATTCCACTTTGCACTGGGCCAGTTTACACTGAAGTTAAATATTCAGTAGCTACCCTTATATTGATGAATGAGATGATGTTCGTGTTAAAGCTAAGCAGTAAAATGGTTGGCAAATGTAATTGCTGCTTTGAATTCTCTCCAAGTTTCATGGTACTCCATGTTATTCACAAAAAGTTCCATAAATTAATCTATTCCCAGAAACTAAGTGACCTCAAATGTACAAATACCCAAGTGAATAGAGGGGCTTCAAAGGAAGGTAACGTTTTTCATAATAGCTTTAGCAAGAATTCATACGTTGCATTGATTATGCCCCAGGACAGGACAGAACGATAGTAATTCAGATGGGCTCCTCTGAAAAGATGCATCAATTTTTTATCACGTTCTAGCCAGATCATCACAAAAACTTTTGAAAAAGACTGAAATTCACCACCAATTTGAGATTGCATGCGAGCTTTTACAACATTCATTGGGAAAAATAAGGATCCCAGCATGGCACCCAAAAGCCCTCCACAGATAAAGTCATTGACCAAGTGAGCGCTATAAGAAGTCGCTTCCGGCAGACATTGTTTGATAGGTCCTCGTAGGCCAAAGAAGAGAATGTTACTGCTTCCATTCCGGAGCAGAATAGGCACCAAACCCCGATAATATTCTCTAATCCCATAGACTTTTAGTACCTTGAAAGCCTGGTAAGTGTTTGTAAATTTGTCATGATGTTTGTAGTCCTGAAGCAAAGTCTGGACTCGTTCAAAAGGTGTAAGAAGGGCTTCCGTGGTCCCTGCAAGCACAGCTGCCATGCTGCAAGTTAGAAGTTCAGGTGCACTTGTATGACTATGGAGCAAGGAGGAGAAATCTTCATACAAGCCAAACATTAGAGCCAGGGTGGTTGTTTTTTGCATTAATGGAGGAAGGATTCCACGATAGAGATTACGAATTCCATCTTTCTGCAGCTGATGTACTGCATCCTTTGTTTTCAAGCCGTACAATTGTTGTCGAAAGAGGACCTTCTGGATGGGAAAGGTGACCACTATATTGATGAAGGCTGCACAATAGCCACAAAGATAATGTTTACCAGAGCTACCCTTTATGTGATGGCTGATATCTTGCTTTGAATTTGTTGGGACGCAATCTTGTGAATCCATCTTTTTTTCCCCCCTTAATATATATCTTAGATTTCTTTTCCTATGTCAAAAAAAAGAAAAGAATGTGAACAAAATGGCATGTGACACAGCTTTTTTAGTTCACACACACATCATGTGCACACTGTTCAACATTTTACATCCTGAAGAAACCATCAAATTCAGTGGAACAGTGTGACAAATGCTTCATCTGATAGATGATGCAAAATGCACAATTTTCTACACCAGATCCAAAGACCTGAAAAACTAGCCCTTTTTTTCCTCCCTTTATGTTTTGTTGATTAAAACCAAACTAAATTAAAACAAATAGACATATGAACCCGTTCGATGCCACATTACAGCTGAAAATGTCAGGGAGAAATAGGAAGTTTACACATTAAGTTGCCAGTACAGTATGTCAAGGAATTCAAATGCTGAATGTTCTATTCTAACACTAGTAAGATACAATACAAATTACTGAGGTTTTGGAAAACACGCACACACACACTACACACAGCTTAACATTACAAATTCTGATCATTCCTGCCTGTATTTCCCTGTGGCAGACAACAATGAATAATTTAAATAAGAATTTTATTTATCAGCATTAGTTTACTATAGAGAAGTAAAAGAATATAGAAAAGCTAAAGAATACATTGAGCTCTGCTAGAGCTGAGATCCTGAAGGACACAGTGAACAGAGTTTCATTAAATAAAATGGAGAATTAGTCCTTAATAGGCGATACGTGATCTGCCACTGTTGCATAATATTGCACTCTTTAATGTTTGCCAAGGAACAGCACCATAGAAGTGATTTACAAAGATGAAGCATTTATCCTGATATGAAGTTATGGCATTAGTGAGGAATTCACATTGGGAAGCTTGTACCACTTCATCTATACTATTATATATTGTTCCTAGGATCCAACTTAGTTCCATCTGCATATAGTAAAATAGCCACACCCACAACAAAGCTAGTCTTATCTGGCACCCCACTTCTATATTAAGAGTTACACCAACTTCACTACTGCAGTGGGTAAGAGTGTCACTCAATAATAAAACATGTAAAACACTGAGGATTCATAGGACTTTTGACAACTAGTCACCAGTTGTGTTGGCAATAGCAACCTGTGGCCAATATAACTTCTGATTTCTTTTGAGGAAAAAAAAAAAAAGAGATCTAACTCAGTTTTATAAGGTACATATTTCTTTCCATGGAGTAGCTGGATTTACGATGTAAGGAGCAGTTTAAAAATATAGCGTTACCTTGATAATCCTCATGTAGTTTAAATAAGTTCTCATGCTTATGCTTTGAGAACTTATAATGATTAGGCAATGCATTTTTTCTCAGAAGTGTTTATGATAGACCCTTTGCTTTCAGCTGTAATTTCAGAAGGCCTAGCTGTGTCACTGTGCTGGTTTTGGCTGGGATACAGTTAATTTTCTTCATAGTAGCTAGTATGGGGCTATGTTTTGGGTTTGTGCTGGAAACAGCGTTGATAATAAAGGGATGTTTTAGTTATTGCTGAGCAGCGCTTACACAGAGTCAAGGCCTTTTCTGATTCTCACACTATCCCACCAGTGAGTAGGCTGTGGGTGCACAGGCAATTGGGAGGGGACACAGCTGGGACAGCTGACCTCAGCTGACCAAAGGGATATTCCATACCATATGATGTCATGCTCAGCAATAAAAAACTGGGGGAAGAAGAAGGAAGGGGGGACATCTGGAGTTATGGCATTTGTCTTCCCAAGTAACCATTACGCATGATGGAGTCCTGCTTTCCTGGAGATGGCTGAACACCTGCCTGCTGATGGGAAGTAGTGCATGAATTCCTTGTTTTGCTTTGCATGTGCACAGGGTTTTTGCTTTATTTATTAAACTGTCTTTATTTCAACCCACGAGTTTTCTCACTTTTACCCTTCCGAACCCCCCCCCCCCG